AAAAGGAAAGAAGTTTAGACATGTTACAACATGGATGCTCCCCAAAGACATTACACTAAGTAAAATGAGCCACGTAAAAGGACAAATATTAGATGATTCCATTTGTACAAGGTACACACAGAAGTCAGATTCATAGACAGGAAGCATAAAGGTGTGTTCCAGGGACATGGGAAAAGAGGAGGTGGGAGCTATTGCCTAATCCACACAGTTGCAATTTGGTTTTTTGTTTTTTGTTTTTTTTTTTGGTTTTTCTCCGGTACCAGGAACCGAACTCACGACCTTGCACTTGCCAGGCAGGCGCTTTTGCCACTGAGCTAAATCCCCAGCCCCCTACAGTTGCAATTTGGAAAGAAGAAATTTCTGAATATGGGTGATGGTGAGGATTGCACAATGGTGTGGATGTATTTAATGCCACCAAACTATATACTTAAAAATGACCAAAGTGATTAATAGAATAAAAAGAGGAGAAAAGAGTAACACAGTTGAATTCCCTTTGCTTACTGATATACGCATCACTTACTATGTTAAAAATTATCCATACCACTTTAGCGCAAAGTCATGTTCCAAGGTAAAGGTGCAGTGAGTCCTATATGTGGTTAGAAATAGCTTTTAAACAACTCTATTGCAATTTCTCCTTCCCCACTGGACTTGCTCTTAAGAAGATGAAACTTTAATTAGGTGGGGACTCTCATCTTTATTAACATAGCTCAAAATCAAGATGAGGCAAAGTATCTCTGCTCTTCTGCCAGGTCATCTACTACAATCAGTTTTGGGGACATTATTTAGCTTTTGTATCCAATACCATATTCTGCCTAGATTTTAGGGAATCTAAACCCCTCACTTTGCAATATTTAATTTGCCATAACATGATGGATTAGCAACCCAAAAGCCACTCCGTAGGATCCCAACTGGGAGAGACGACTCAAGAGCCTTCCCATAAGAGAGCTGGTTCATGCATGCTCTGATGAAGGTGAACCCAGAAAGGGAAATGCTTTAGTGGACTGAGGATTTGCTTAGTGATAAAATACTTGTCCAGCATGCACAAGGCTCTGCCTGGGTTGGATTCCCAGCACTAAAAAAGCAGTAGAAGCTCAGTAAAAGTCTCAGAGTAGAGGAAAGCAGAGGGCAAAACTACTTGCCAAGCATGTAAACAGATCCATGACTTACCTGGCCCACTTCTGAAGTTTACTAAAGACTGATTTGCTGACCAATCTGCCAGAAACATTTCTTAATTGAGTTCATTGAGGAGCCCATGCTCAAACTGTGCACAGAATTCTTCATCTCTATCTAGCACTCCTTAAACTAGAGATAGAAAAGAAGGAAGAGAATTGGACAAGGAAGATGTCAGGATAGGGGTGTGTGTGTGTGTGTGTGTGAGTGTGTGTGTGTGCATGTGTGTGCAGTAACACACACAAGTACAACTCACAAACATCTATATATTCAGCAAATCCATCAAAACCTTCTGATAAGTCCATTATTCCTTAGTGGTAAAATAGAAAACAACACTCCCTACCTGAGTGTGCAGCCCAAAGATGGGAGTAAGTTGCATGCAGAATTCCCTGGACAGACCTACGATGGCCCATGAGTCTTAACTAGCAGCCTCTGATTCCAAAGCCACTCCTGAGTAAGGAGGAACAGCACCCTCTTCAGCCACGACCTTTGTGAATGGAGCTGAATGTCATGGTGAAAGAGCTAATGCAGAGAACTCTTTTCTCTTTCCCTACTAAGTAAGCTCGCATTGGTGTTCCTTCCTCAGCTCTCTCTTCTGGAGCCAAGATGGAGTGACTCATGACCAGTCACCTGCATACTGAATTCCACATTTTTAATAGAAATTTCAACATCATCACTGTGAACTCACAGATGGGGGCCTGGAGGGATTTCCACAGTTCCTGCTTGGGCTTTGGGCTTGATTGTTGGTTTCAGTATTCACAGTGGAAATGACCACTGGGCTTTCTAACACCATGACCTCAAACTAGTGTATAGAATGACTTTCTTGCTCAGCCTTTCTGCTCTGCACCCAATAATAGAAATTCAGAACTCTGAAAGTTTTTCTTAAAATTCTAGGATCCATGTCTCTCAGTAACACATTCAGGTATACATTTCTGCTGCACAGTGCAGCAATGTACACCATGGTGGTAGACGTCAAAAAGTAACGGGGTTGAGGGAGGAAAGGTGGATCCAAAAGAAGTACAAGGGAATTTTGTATATCTTATTTTGGGAGAGGTCCAATGAGTGTACACAACTGTACAAATTAGTATCTAAATATTTAATATTTTGCATTTGATGTCTACCATCTTCCAGGTAAAAGATAGCAACCTACAGCCATGGCGAACAGAGCAGGTGCTGACCTTCTCCTTCCCTATGCCTTTCTGTACCAGCTCTCATCTCTCAGGATCTCAGAGGCAGCCCAGCAGAGCATCCTCTGCTTGGGAAAGGAGAGCTAAACATGAGAAAATAGTGGTTTTCTCTCCAGAATTCTGGCCAGATAAGAAGGCCAGGATTGCTAGAGGAGTGAAGGTTCTGTATTTGGGGTGAGTTTGTATCCAGTTCCTTTCTTCTAGGAGGCAGGACCCTGCTCTCTCCTGCTCCTTAGCCATTCCCCCACTACTACACATTCTGAGCCACAAAGGAACACTGAAGCTGGTCCTAGAGAAGGTTCATAGGAGAAATAGTCATCAAACACATGAATCCATAGATGATTATCTATGGCGATGTTCCCTAAGAAGAGTGCCTTCAACTGGGATTTCTTGGAGTAGACAAGTGTGGCAATCAGGTAACATCAGTTCAGCCTGTTAGCTGTCAGCCCAGGGTTCTTTCTTCACGGTAAGCACAGAGATCTTCACCTGGCTTCTGGCCATTCTCCTGGCTGAGAACTAAAGGCCAACAGCACCTGAAGACTTTGAGCAGATTCTCATTCTTCACCAAGCAGAAGCCATTGCTCCACAGGGAGTTCACTAAAGGGTTTTAGCTGCAAATCTATCTTCTGTGGAGCGGTCCACCCCTGCTCTTCCACATATGAGCATTATTTTATTTTGCAGGTGATGAGGTATTAGTAGACCAGAAGTTCTATTTGTGCTTTTGCTACCCTTTGACCTAATACTTTAAACATCTATGTCTCTCCTGTTAAAAAATGGGCCCAATAATGCCACTGAGCATTTATTTCAGGGAAAATTTAGGGTCGTTAATGAGATAATGACCACTAAATATGATGACTTCAGTAATAAATGGTGGCTTTGGACAGGGTCCCCTGCATGGGCATGATTTTTTTTAAACCCCAGGGAGTTGTCACGCTGGAATCCATCCACTCACTTGTCCAAATAGAAGAATTTCAAAGACAGGAGGATTTAGGAATTTGAAATATGAATGAGTCAGAGTTGGTTTCTGATTATCTGCATTTGTCTATTTCAATCTTTTTCTCCCTCCCATTACAACTTCTGACATCTCTCTCTTTTCCTCACTGCATTCTACTACCTGCCATTCTAAAGAGATGATCAAGTTGCTGGATCTGGCGGCAGGCATAATAAAAAAGAAAGCAATACCACTTCACTCAGAACTACGTCTCTCACTCAAGAAGGTCCCCAACCAGAGGCAGAGAATATTTTCTTCCTCTTCGACGGGGTGCTCATGCTGCTCAATTAAAAACAGAACAAAGAGCCATCACACTTCGGTTTGATCAGAACTGAAAGAGTGAACTCTCCCACCTCCTCAACCTCCTCTTCCTCAATATATTTAAATAAAGCAACTAGAACCTTACAGAGTTAGAGGCCAAATCAAAGCAAGGCTTGATCTTACAAGAAGCCACATCTCTTTAAAATCCCCCTTAGGATACTGGCTTGCGTGTCTTGAAGAAAATACCCAACACCACTTGTTGAATTGCCCCAGGCAAGTAGGTTTGGGCAGGACTGAAGGGGGTGGGGCAGGCAGATAGTGCCTCCGAGGCAAAAGTAAGGCAGATACAAATAATCGACTGAACAAACTCAGAGGGGTAGGGAGCAGGAGAGACAGAGCAGTGCAAAAAGTATTAACATTGAAGTATGAAGTAATGTGGAGCTGCTGTTTGTGGAACCTCTCAGTGCTGGAGGAGCACAGAGTACCGCTGCGATCTTTCTGAGTCAGGGGCCAATCTAAATCCATTTCTGCTTCTCTGGGCACTCAGAGACAAACCTTTCCTCTGAGCTGTTTTTCATTGCCAGATGCCCCAGAAAATAGGGCAGAACAGACTTTTGTCCTCTTTCCAACCACACGTAGCCAAGGATGAGAGAAAAGTGGAGAGGGTACCGCCTGCCTCCTTGCAAATGTAGCCAACCTTTGCAAGGCTCAAGACATGGGCACTGTCCCACCACCATCAACTCAGAGAGACCTCAGCCCCCAAATTGCCCCAGCATGAGCCTAACCTGTTGCACCCACCCACTTGGCATGAATTCAAACCAAGAGAAAAAGTAAAAGGTCAGGTTGGGCTCTCTCCACAGCAAGAACCCAGAGAATCCTGGAGAAACTGACATTTAAAAAATCACCTCTTGCAAGCTCCCTCGAAGGAGCATAACTTTTAACTCTACCTTCACTCTCAACCCCCAGGCTTCCTTTACAAGACTTTCTCAGCATGGAGGGCTCGAGGTGAAAGAGTTAAAGAAGGTGCACGATTAATTTCCCAACACTCATCTACATACGAAAAGAACAGTCTCACACAGAAGCACAGAGAAACCACCAGCAATTGAGCTCAGCCCTCACCTATCTTATGCAACAGTACACACGCAAATACACTCACGCACATCGCAAGCCCAGGGTCTACATCCCTCTCTAATTCGGGAGACATAGTTTTGCACCTTTCTTTTCCTACGCAGAACCCAGCTCTCCTGGCAGCAGAGAGACAGATACAACCTCAGTGCCAAACGCCTTGCAGGAACACACAGACACACAGAAACCGAAATGCATCTCATCGCTCTCCTTGGTGCTGAAATACGCTAGCAAGGAAGGGAAGGAGCGGAGTGCTCTGGACTTACCCGGGCTGGGGGTGGGCAGCCAGGAGGGAGAGAAGCTTCCTGCGAAGAGAATTCTTGTCTCTTAGGGCTGGAGCCAGCTGATGCTCTCACCTAAGAGCCCACCACTCTCCCTTTTCCCTTCCTCTTTTCTGAGAGGAGGCTTCACAGCAGGGCTGCGAGTGGAAGGAGAAAGAAGAGAACCAAAATAAGATCAGAAAGTCAGGTGGCTTTACTCCACTAGTGGTAATTCCTTGGGTCAGGAAAGACCACCTTCCTCGCTCCCTCTCTCTAGGTCTGCTCCTGTCTGTCTCTGCGTGTTGAGCCAACAGCTTTAGCACAGTCGGTTCCTGCCTCTGACGTGAGCGAGATGGGAAGTCTGGAGCTGCTTTGCTGTCTCTCTCTCATGCGCTCTCTTTTCCTCTCTTGCTGAAATTTCAGCAGCATATTTTTTAAGCCTCTGTTTTTTCCATCTCTCTACAAGCATCCCCCTAGTGGACAGAAAAGAAAAGCATCTCAAGTTCTCTTGAACAGTCTCCACTCAGGCATAGAACATTCCCTGCATCCACAAATTTAGTGGCTGAAACCACACAACCCGGGTCCTGAAGAGGATAGAGTCTCCCCTCTGGATAACCTAGCAGAAAGAGAGTGGTTGAGGGAAGGAGATTTTGAGGATCCTTTGCCCACAATAGCAAAACAAGTAAAAGATGGAATGGGATCTAGGGGGTGTAGCTGGGAGCAGAATGTTTTGGAACAAGGTCAGTTGTAAGGTTGCCAAGTATTTTAAGGTCCTGGCTCCTTAGAGGGAATCATCCAAGGAGTCTGGGTCTGCAGCCAGCTGGGAATGTGTATAGTCAGCATACCCAGGGATGGAAGTGGAAATTCCATGACCAAGGGCACAGTGCCTAACTGGTATCTCATGCAACTACACAGTTTAGCTTTTCTGAAAGCTAATTTGAAAACTACTTGGGAAGACAGAGTCTGAGATCGTCTCAGAGAAAGAGATAGAAGTGACCTTGTTGGACATATGGTGAACCTCAGCACAGAAGGGGCCTCAGGGGATCACTGCTCCCAAGCCCATAAAGGATATCTAACTCACTTTTACATACACAGCCTCACATTCCCCTCAAAGTTGTCCTAGTACTGTATTAAGCTCTACAAGCCTGAGCCCTACTGCCACTCATTTACTGGACATTTTGCTTCTCGATGGCTCAATTCCACTATTTGTAAAATGTGGATAATGCTGCCCCCTCCCTACTGAATAGGAATGTTGAGGGATTGGAGTAATGTGGACACATAGAACCTCAGGAGTGACAGGAAATTTGAAGGTAATCTTATCCAAACACTCTTCTTATGTTTGACTCATCTTTAGCAAATAATAATAGTTAGAATTTATAGAGTTTTCACAGAAGCTGCTAGGTACTGCTAGAAGCCTTTACATGTTAGCTCATTTAACTCATGCAATAATCCTACAATGAAAATGATATGATTGCATTTTATAGGAAATTGAGGCACAGAGGATGAGTTAACTTTCCTTAACATCACACAGTTAGGGTATAACAGGAGTGGGGCTGATCATGGGCCATCTAACCCCAGAGCTTTCTCTCTAAACCATCATGTGCAATAAATGTCACTTCAGAAGTAACAACATCTAAAATAAATAGAGGATAGCAGCATAGTGATCATTGCTTCTATTTATGATAAAGTGCCTAGGTTGTTATAATAAGTTTATATGTCACTGAGTTTTTAAAATAAGATATTTACAAGTATGGGTGCCAAATAAACTGTGGGATTGCTATTGCTGATGAGAATCCCCTAGGAAAATTAATTCTCAGAGATTTTGGTAACTTCACATACAAAAAACTGGTCATAAATCTCACGAAATTGGAAACTATTGGGCTTTAGCATCAGATCAAAAGACAGATCACACAATTTCTGTATGAAAACAGATAACTGCACAGTGCCTAGTGCCATATCAGGATGAAATCAGGGATTTGATGAACTGAATTGCGGCAATGTAAGCTAGTCAGCACTCAGTGAGATATCAGCATTTCTTCAAAATCTTAGAATCATGCATTCCTTACCCAATGTGGCTTACTTTTTTTTCCACTTTCCTTGGGTCAAAAGTGAATGTGGGAGATCAAAGATGGAATATACTAGTTTAAAAATCATAGTTCCTGTCTTCATAGAGTTTTCAGTCTTTCAAAGTGAAGAAAAAGCAAAAGAAATAGTTCAGACGCTAAGTACTGAGACAGGGGCAGAGGCAGTATAATAAGTAAACACATGGAAGAGACAACAAATCTTTGAGGCTGAGGACTTCATAAGGATTAATAACACCTAAGCTCATGCCTGAAAGTGCAATGTTTTTTCAGTAAACTGTGGGTAGGAAATGAAGCTGAAGATATGGTGTATGCAAGCTCATGGAAGAAAAGACATCACAGTTTGAACCTTCTAAGGTGAGCACTACCCTCCTATTTTCAACTGGGGAAACTGAAGCTCAGAGAAGTTAAGTGGCCTGCTCAAGATCACACTTCTGCTAAGAACAGAACCCTAAGTCAAAAGCATCCAAAGCACATATACTGGACTCTAAGATCATCCTGTTTTGAAGCATCATAATGTATTTTGTCACTTAGATGCACACACACAATTTAATAAAGTGTTTCAATAGTACACACGATAGCAAAGTGAGGATGTGGCATCTACAAGGAAGCAGAACATGTGGTCCACCACCATTAGATGAAAGGCCGCAAGAAGGCACTAGTTAGTTCAAAAATGAAGAAATCCATGATGGCAGAGTTGTTTTCACTGGATGTGAAACTGGCAAGTGTATTGGTGAGTGGGAATATTTTTGAAATGCAAAGATGCTGAATATTTGCAAATGAGAAGGAGGATGAATGTAGAAAGGACATCTTCACTTAAGGTGCTGCAGGAGTTGGGAAGAGGAAGAGGTCCTTCTGCCTGGGAGGGATGATGGGGTCTTCACAGGGGATTGGGCCACTTAGCTGGATCTTTAGAAAGTGGATGGGTAAATAGTGTTCCATTGCACCCGGGCATTTTATGTGTGGAAAACATGAGATCTGAGTCACCTTAAAGAATAGTGGGACATTGATTAAAGGGAGAGAAGACGATCATTTTAGAGAGAAGCAAATGAAGAAGACTAAAGACAGGATCCCAGCTCTATTTCTTTTTTTTTTTTTTTTTTTTTTTTTTTGGTTTTTCTCCGGTACCAGGAACCGAACTCACGACCTTGCACTTGCCAGGCCGGCGCTTTGCGGCTGAGCTAAATCCCCAGCCCCCCAGCTCTATTTCTTAATCCATGAGTCAAGTTTTAAATTTTTTTAGTCCATTGGATGAAAGCACTTGATATCCAAGAGCTATCTACAAAATTCTTATTGATTGACTCAAAATAACAACTCAAATACATTAATGAAAGATAACACTGTACTTGGCTGAGGTCGGTTACTGGCTCCTTATCTTCTGATCTACCACTCTTACAGCAGGCCCCCTCTTCACAATTTTCCCTTTGGAGACTGGAAGTAGCTGGCCCCTGAAGTTTGTTTTCACAGAGCTCTCCAGCCCCCAAATCCTCCTCTGTGTTGATATTTCTATCCATTCTTGAGGTCAAATTGAGCCTCTTCTCAGACACCCAGACATCTCCAGAGAATGAAGAGCCACAGTGTAGTCAGTCACCAGGATCTAATTTCCCAAGGAAACATCAGTATCATGGCCAGCATTCCCAAAGGCCCTAGGATCCATTCTTCCGGTATTTGTTTTAGTGGGTGTGGCTGTGGCTTTTTTTTTTTTTTTTTTTTTTTTTTTAAACAGAAAAGAGAAGTTAACCTAGGGCTCTGCTTTGGAACACGGTGAATCCAAGGTAGCAAAGGGGAGCCCTCAATTCCCAGGCTAACCAAGGCCAACACCATTCCACTCTTCCAATGGGTGTAGAAGGAAGAAGTTCAGTGTAAACAGCAGAAAAGATGGAGCTCTGGCCAAGGAGAAGGGAGGAGCAGAGGACTAGGCCTCTAGATGGTTAATACCACCCCAGGCCATCTCATCCTAGGAACTGTTAGGGAGCAAGCCTTCTTATTTCCCAATCCTTCTCTTCTACACAATTTCTGAACTTCCCCTCTGTCCTTTTCCAAAGTCTATGTTTATCTGGACACAGTGGGATTATATATCAATCATTGATCTTTCTTCCTACAAGAACACAAACTCCTTAGAGGCCAGGATAAGGTTTGCTTTTGGGGAACATCTAGCTGATGTATTGTGAATCCAGAAGAGGGGAATGTTAGGAAAGAGGGATGGAGGACAGGAGAGAGATGGAGACAGAGAGATACTTTCAAAGCAATGCTTAAGTCTGCTAATTTTAGAAGCGAGGAGAGTAGATAGACTAAAGATTGGAGATATTAGTCAGCAGAGAGTTTTCTTCTTTTCTTTACTCATCCCAAATATTTTCCCCATGGCAAAGGTAAGGAAGCTAGGTACTTTGTGCAGTCTCAGAGTGACTCTGTGCCCCACACTGGGAAGAAGAGACTTGCTATGACCTGCCCAGTCTGCACTCGCACCTCATTGCACAGACCTAATTACAACAGGCCATTCGCTGCCCCATTCTATAGGGAGAGGGCCCAGGAGTGACATTCTATAGTTAGGAGGGCAGAGTGTTAGTTACAGTGATGCAGGAAATATGCAACATTTCCAAACCAATAAAGCAGTTTATCCCTGTCCTGGAGGAGGGAGAAGACTGTAGGGTCCCAGCGTCTACCACAGAACCTGTGTTCACTCCCACCCACAACCCTTACCATGTGTGAACCAGTGGGGCCTCTGTAAAGACTGGGAGCTTTTGTCTTCCTAGCACCTACCTTGCAGGCACTTTGAACCATCTGGAAGAAGCTGTCCTGAGGCCTCCCAGACCTTTCAAATCGGGGTCTTGCCTTAAGTGTTGCCCACAGAGCCTGTGATGAAAGAGAAGAGCAGGGAGCAGAAACTGCCAATAGTCAGAGTTGTCTGAGAAAGGAGACTTCCTAAAAATGACCCAGCTCAGGAAGGACAGCCACTTGTCAGGACATTGTAGAGACATTCAAGCATTAGCTGGGTGTTTGGAGTAAATGACTCATCCATTTCCTTTCAACTCAGATATTGTGAGATTGTATTGTCCTAATGACTAAGCCATTTGCCTAGAAAGGACTGTTTCAGGATCTGGGACATATTTTCTGGGAGATGGAGGGGAGGGCTTCTTAAAGATGATCCTGAGTGTAATGTACAAATGCTAACCCTTGCATGGACACAGAAGGCCCTGCCTATTTAAAGCCAGGGCTAGCCTTGGTTCTGTCCCTGCCTGACTCAGCATGACTTGGTAACCTCTTTGCCCAATAGAAATGATGTCTGGG